GTCCACCAGTTCTTTCTCCACATTGCCGCTTTCCAAAATCGCCGACACGTCCTCGACACATACGACGTCTAAACAACAAACACGTCAGACCTCGAAACGAAATTCAGCTCCTGCTACTGGAGTACCGCATTACCTCTGACGGGTCGCATTGAGTGTCGACCGCGACTCAAACGAACGCGGCTGCCTCGGGAATTCTACAAGCACACAAAAGGGCTACTTTGCAGGAAACACCGTAACTAGCGAAAGCTACCCTCGAGCGAAAAGCCGGAATCGCAGCAGTACCGCCTTCAGAGGTAGCATTTATGCTGTTGCTACAGACGTTACCGACGTTTTCCATCGTTACGTATACAAAAAGCCGCCTACTTTGACTACCACATCATAATGATCGTTGTTCCGCACATCCTGCGATACATTTCATTACTGTAACTGTATATGTAATGATTAATGTATATGTACTGTAAATGTACAAAAACTGTCATTATATAAATTTTGGCGCACTTTTTGCAAAGTATGTTTCATCTTGTGATTTTCACTTGTCGAAATTAAATTTATATTAGTAGATACGTAGAGTGGTCGGTTATCTCTCACCTCTATTTTTAGTGGCGATCGCTCTGATATGTTCTGCGTTTTGGACACCCCTATCTAGCGTCTAGCAGTTCTGCTGAAAATAATTTTTGTATACTTTGTACACTTACTTTCTTCAAACTGATTGTTCCTTTGTTACATTTTGGTTTTGTGCCTTTCTTTGTCATGAAATGTGTAGTACCGTTCCGTTCACTAGCATATGATTGTCAGGTTGCATTATTACCGCGAAGCTCTCCAAATACTCAGAATGACCACCACGCAACTTTTCCAAACAAACTTCCAATAAAATTTCAGAAAAAAAATATTGCGTGACGCTCGACATCAAAGAAGGGATAGTCGTCTTGCAGGTTGGCAAACAACCCCTGAGAGGGCAGGCGCTAGTAGTCTTCTGTTCTCCTATGTGTCCGCCAACGTTCGCTCCGTAACGACCAAATTTAGCGAAGTTGAGGCGACTCTCCATTTTAAACGATTTACGAATGCCTCTGTGCTTCTCTTCC